TTTTTTTCATAAAAAAAAAAAAATGAAATTCCCTAAAATCAAGGAACTTGGGCGCGTGGGTGGGGCGTTGGAATTTGTTTTACCTAGAAAATACTACCTATCAAACTTCCAAAGAAAAAAAGGCAAATCAAACGAGGCATAATTGAATCCCAGTTAAAAAAAAAACGTGGAAAACCGACATTACCTCGGTGTGAAGTCTCTTCAGAATAAAGGGTTTTGGGAAGAGCATCCATGGAACAGCAATAACTGCCAAAAGCAACAATATGACCTGCAAAACTTTTATTGAACAATTAAGGCTGAAATTATATTTGCTCAATATAACAAAAATATACAAGAAGATAAAATAGATATCGTGCCTGAAGTACACCCTGACCCCAGAATAGCTGATTATCGCGCAGATCCTCAAAAGGACTCAAGAACATGTAAATCATCACATGATACAGGTCCGCTTGAGAACCAGTACACCATTTGATAATGATGAGAAGAGAGAGATATCCAAAAAGGCTGTTAAGAAAGATCATCTGTGGCACAAACTGATACCTAAGAACAAAGCACAAGTTAAGCCCTTACATTGGATTCTAAAAAATTAAAAAATTGGGAAAAAGAAAAGGAACGTGAACACACTTAATATCAAGTGAGTTGCCAAAGTAACGTGCATTGAAATAACTTAATATGATTCCTAGGTTCATCTGCACCACCCCAAACAAAATAGACATCTTCATCTTGAGAGAATTCAAGAAAGGAAGCTCAGAACGACTTCCACGCCAACTTGGATCGACACCAAATGGGTATGCATCCCGATATTTGACTAAACCAACTGAATAAGCATCACTGTAAAGGTCAACAGACAGCAACAGTATGAGAGCTTTAATTTACAAAAATAAAAGACAAAAAATAGAAATGTATACATAACTATACAACAAAGGACCCTTTACAAACTTGATAATGGTCTAGATGAAACTGGAAAGGTGGGGAAAGTGGAAACATATGAAATTATTATAAGGCTGAGGAGCCTGCTAAAAAATCTTGTCTAAGATAAGGTTAAAATAAAAGCATCTCAGAAGTCAACTATTTCCTAGCAAGCCATATTCAGGTCAATAAACTTCAATTACATAATTCAACTTGCTAGTGTTTAGTTAGATTCCAAGAATACAATTTCCCTTGATCAAATTACTCAGCAAAAGCCAAGTAGGAAGAGAAGGAAGATGATCACGATACACCAAATTTATTGCGCATGTATTTTTCAATTACTGAATGTATTTACCCTCTTGTACCCTAACCCTCCTCCTATCGTCTATAACTTTATTATCTCTATATTCATTTACTGACCCCTATTGATGCCTCAAATCAAATGCCACCAAACAGAAAAACGCCTAAAGATTCAAGGACAGTGATTCAAGTTACCTGCAAGTGGTAGCTCGGCATTTGTATGCAGAGTGACCAAATATATGAAAAGGAACAGAGAAGAATTCGTTGTATATCAAGCCACAGTATATTGAAAACAGAGACATCAAAAGGAGAATATAACGGCCACCAAAAAGCATCTCCATAAAGCTGCCAAGTTTCTGAGGGTAACAAAAAATATATTACAGAGTAGAAATGAAGCAGATGAATAGTAAATGAGATGAATGATAAAATATGTATGCATAAGTTTTTCAGGAAAATTTGTGGTTAGTGAAGATAACCATATAGTCTTTGAGATCTGTGATGGTCAGTCTACTTCATTATATGGATAATCGCTCAAATGTAGTTTATGGGATGTATTTGCTCTTACCATAAGAATCAGCAGCACTGGCTTCACAATGTTGCCAAAATAATTCTGATAAAACTAATAGAAAGGTTAGCATTAATTTGGCTAACTTCCTATTTTTTCCTTGCTAATTTAGTTTGGCTAATTCTGATAAAACTAATAGAAAGGTTAGCATTAATTTGGCTAACTTCCTATTTTTTCCTTACTAATTTAGTTTGGCTTACCGTAATCCCTTATTTTCCTGGTTAACTTTGCTTGCTTCTACAACTAACTTGTACAATGCAGCTAATCCTACCAAATTGAAGGACCTAACTATAAGTTGTAGCAAATCTAGGAGACAGTTTCTATGGTCTCTGTTCACATAGCCTAGAGCTAAGAACACGAGTTACTTCTGAATGAACAACTACACCATCCCGAACTACTTGATGAGGGAAATTTTACTAGTTCTACCGTAAAGGTACTAGTGTACAAAATATCTCCTAAATGTTGCTGAAAAGACAGTGTGTAATATCCTTAGGCTTCGAATTTCCTTCTACGCCTTAAATTGCATCTGACCATTGAGGCCAGCTGCCTCAGGGAAAAAAATATATATTCGGCCAGCTGCCTCAGGGAAAAAAAAATATATTGTCTATTAGAGCAGAGCTGTTACAATTTGTTCCGAATCAGAAGAAACAAGTGGGGACACTCAAACTTCTTTACCACCTTCCACATCCAAGAATTTCACTAACCCATAAAATGGACCACAAAGCTCATTCCAATTAATTACATTCCCTAACAATCTGTTAACAAAGAAAGTTGTAATAGAAGCACAAAATCAAGAATAAACAAGTTCAGCTATTTTGCCAGATCTGTCACTGCACCTATCTGTATGTTATAAGAAAATAATGAACTACATGACATTCTCGATTAACATATTACCATCAAATAGCTTCACTTTGTGACAACTACTCCAAAATCAAACCATATAATAGGACATTGATTTTTCTAAATATTCAACATCGGGCAACTCTAAAAATAAAAGAAACCAGTGGGATGAAATCTTCAGATTGATTATTAACAAAACTTAACCAATAGAAATATGAATCCATTATATGTTTACGTACACTATCTTACATCAAGATACCATACCTGAGAACTGAGCTTTTTTTCACGGACAATAAGGACTAAGGCTCCCAATAACAAGCATATACCATGACCCCAATCCCCAAACATCACGGCAAAAAGAAATGGAAATGTAATGATTGTATAAACTGCGGGATTTGCCTCCTGATACTTAGCGACACTGCCAAAATATATTGTTGCATCAGTGCTTTGTCAGCTATGCATAAAACACAGATATAAAGAGGAAATATTACTTCTTGGAAAAGGCTGTTTATAAAAAGGTTTTTTTACATAAAGGAAAGGTCCAATGTCAAAACAATAAATAATGTCAACCACAATAGTAGAAATATCACAAGTAAAATAACAAGCTAAAAATTTAACTTATTTCTTTAAACAAACACAGTCCAGAAAGACTCAAGAGCATGTACATATATATTCTTTATATATTTAAAAATAGTATCATTTATTTGTAATAACTGGTAAGTATTTTTCGCATTTTTTTTTAATAGCATTTTAGTAATAAACAATTCATAGAGTCACTAAACAAATTTTTGGACATTTTTTTTAACAGAAGCACAGGTGGTCTGGTGGTCAAGGCATGAAAATGGCAACCGAAGGCCGCAGGTTTGAGTCCCGGCAATACAATCAGGTGTCTTACTTGGAGGCCACACCAAAATCAAGTGTTTAATTGCTGCTGCAAAACAAAGTGCGGACTCTGGCAAAACACCGTAAAACAAAAAAATAGGCAGCTTCAAGTGGAGACGCGATCAGAACACCAGTCTGCAGAGTAGTTCTACCAGTATGCCAAGTTGAACTCACTAATTTGGGACATGAGTGCAGGTTGCTTGACTAAAACTCAACAATATTCTCTCTATTGACAAACATATTCCTTTCTTGATAAACAGAAATGATCTGTCTACAAGAAAGGATGCATCCAGAAAAGAGACTGAGACTCCATTTATTCAAATTTCAGAATGAAAAAGTGGGAATATTAATGCCCAGAATTTTATTTTTTTCCATTATTTTTTTTTTTTTCGACAGATAGTCTAGAGAAGCACGGGAAAGAAGCACAATTGATGCTAATGGAGATACATACATAAACATGAATTTCAATGTTCACAAAACTTCAATACAGAGATAAATTTAAAATTCTTCCATTTTCTGTTTTTTGAAAAGGAGCCTTACCAAGCAAGAGAAACTATATTGGAATAGCACTACAAAATATAAGCAAAGGAACAATTAATTAAGAAGTTAAATACATTGTAATGTCAAATTGACAAGAACAAAATAAAAACCAAATCTGAGGAGAAGAAAGTTAAGTCCAAAAAAATTGAATATACATATTTGACTTACCCGTATGCATCAACTATTTCTTGATATGCATTTGTGAAATGGTTGGTTCTAAAGTATGTTGGAGGTGACTCGACAGCATCCATTACATGAAATATTATACCCACTTGTGAGCTACTGTCAAATGTTGCACGTTGCAGGACTTCTTGAATCTGTAACATTGAAGATATTATTCCTTAACTGATATAAGCAGTGAAGAAAACTATTCCAGGTATCTAACCAAGAAAAATAAAAAATTAAATAGAAAGTGAAATTACCCTAGTTTTTGCAAAAACAGGGCACCAGCCCTCACCAACCAAACACTTCTTTGTGACATCAAAATTCAGCATATTCAACGAATCATACACAGCCTTTTCCCTTCTAACCTAAAGAGGAGTTAAGGAACTGAATTAAGTTTCAAGATTTCCATCCCAGACCTTAGTTATTGATATCGTGAATTTAGTTTGAGAAGAAAATTTTGACAGGTGTATCGTACCATGTTTGTCCATTTTGAAAGGTGAAAACCAATGGAGGTAAGAGCCTTATCCCGATGACGTAGGCCAGCCTCCAAGGTGATCTCTAACTCAGACAAACGTGACAATACCTGTGAATGAGAAATTAATATGTATAAATGCACCTAGTATGGTCCAAACAGTGAAGAAAGTACCAATCTAGAAGCACAAGATATTTTAATATAATTAATAGTTTCAAGGTCAATGCACTTTTATGGAATAAGTATTGAGCTTAATGCACATTCATGAATTTGATACTAATATGTATGTAAGGTTAATGCATTTCAAAAAGGGGGGCAATGCCCATATTAGATAGTTTTGAGTTCCATGCATTTCAAAAAGAGGGGAATTAATGCCTATATTAGATAGTTCTGTGTTCTAGTGAAAACATGAAGCTTTTTTCCAGCATCCTGTCATGATAATTAGAGAAAAATCAACCAATAAGGAATAACTAAAATAATACAGGCAAGCAGATCTGAAAATTTTCCCAGTTCATCAGAAAGTGCAAGTGATATCTTTAGAACATACTTCTCGGGTTATTTGGCTCCGTTTGGTCAAGTCCTCGGGAACAGGATAGCAACTTGCACCAAACGATTCACAAATTTTCAGAATTTTTATCCTTGCCTGCTCACCAGAGAAGAATACAACAAAAACAGTTTTCTCAACCTGCAGAAACAATAACCACAGATTAATTCTCTAAAATATTTCACAACACTTCATCAGCAAGGATATAATGCAGAATATAGTTTCGTCCTAGCATTTAACAAGAGAGAACAATTTAAAAGGGATTGATTATGATCAATTGAACAATTTAAAAGGGGTTGATTATGATCAATTTATTCTCTTCTCTTTCAATCTTCAGATGTAAAGATTCATTCATTTGAATTTTTTAAGGTTACGATTTGGAATTCTAGTTAGAAAACATTAGATATGCAGATCTGCAAAGAGAATTGAAGCAAAAAATTACCATTTCATTTGATGCAGGATCCATGATTTGATCATCAGCTGGTGCTTGATTGAAAAGCATATTGCCCCTCGTAGCACGAAATAGCATCCTTTCAAATCTAAGAACTTTAGATTTACAGATAATGCCACTAATAAATCTTACGCCAGATTGATTTGATGGGACAGGTTGCATCTCCTGCCATTGGATAACATAATACCAATAAAAATGGCGTTATTTAACATGTGCAATACCGTTTCAAAGACAAAAATCGTATCAAAAGTTACCTCTTCAAGCAGTGATGCTGAATCTGCATAACCGTCATTGGTATATATGTTTTCACTTAATTCTGTCTCCTGGGCTGCAGCATGATTCCCACTTGAAACAAGGAAATCACCCGCCTGTAATTACCCATGACAGCTTAAAACATAATACCATGAAAATGATGTGCAATTTCGGAAAAGGACGATGCAGTTAATTTCCCCTTGGTATTGGTTCCATTATAAAGCATACAACTACAAATCTAGATATAAAGATGATATATTATGCACGACTAAGTATAACAAGAATCTGAAGCTCTCCCACTGGATCTGCAAAGCTATGGGAACTGTTAAGTTGGTTTGAAATTTCAAACAAGGAATTAGTAAATAGCATACATACTAAGCACAACGGCCTTCCCCATGTTTCGTGCATTATATTTTTCCCTCTACCTGCCTTTGCCAGCAAAGAAATCTGCAAAATATCTCTCCCAAAACTTACCAGGTTTAGGTCATTCTGACATGAAGAAGAGAGTTCCTAGACAAATCCTCACACTAACTTATAGGGGTTTGTACGTGCAAGGGAACGAACTGTAGAGTAAAAACAACAGAGGAATATGTCAATGTACCTTCTGCAATACCATCTTGAATTCTAGCAGCTCATTATATGTTTGCATAAGTTTCTCGCTGTTGGAATTCATTTCAATAAGCTCGTGCTCATGCTCCGCTAATTGAATCTAAAATCAAAATAAAGGAAAAAGAACATCCCTAATAAGATTCAACCAGAAAAAAAGGAAAAGAAATTTCTAACATAGAAGTGGTCATTTCGCAGCATTCTAATTGCCACCACCATAAAAAGGCATACAGGTGGAAGAAAGAAAAATGTTCATGTGGAAACTATTGAAGATTAATGAAAAGAAAAAGACCTCCAGTTCTTCTAACTCAATATCAGGTTCAGATGCAGGATTAGGGGAAGGCACTAGCCCAGCTTTATGTATCTGATCTTTGAAGAATCGTAGTTTCCTTGACATCTCAGCACATCTTTTTACCTGAGACCAATTTACCAAAATTTAATCTAAAGAACGAGAAAGACTTAAAGCAGAGCATATCTTTAGACAGAACCAATGATCACTTCCAGAACAAAAACATTAAAGCATCACCTACGAACCCATAAGGCACAGCACAGATTTTCATACATAAAAGAATAAGCCATGTTTGGTTTAGCTAAAAATCAGATTTTTAGTAGATTTTGATAAAAGATCATGAAATGTGTGGTTGAAAAATTGATAAAAGTTGTGTCCCATGAAATGTTTGTGGTTGAAAATGAGTTTTGAGGAAAAATGACATTCAGAAAATGGGGGCCAAATGGGTGCTAAGGTTTGTTCATTTTTGGGTTAACATATAATATCTAGATAATTTTCAATTTGTATCCTCAAACATCTGTTAATTGGAAAAGAGAACTTGAGAGGCACACAGACATGCCTGTAAAACAAGGACTACATCAAGAACTCAATTCACACATGGCATATGACACTACTTTCACCTGCCAACCCATAAAATAATATCAAGCAATCAAGTGCCTGACAAGAATTTTATTTATCAAGCACTAAATCGTGCCCTATCAATTTGTCCAGACAGGTTAAGAACAAATAGAACTTCAATATTGTATAAAAACAACGAGAATTTGTTGCCACAGATTAGCCCTATCTAACTACACGTTAACACATCATGTCTAACCAACAAGAAGATGGACAATTGTCAGCAATAAACACTGATAAATTTTAGATTATGGCAAATTTAGCCCAAGCTACAATTCTCAATATGTTCAACTGACAACATAAAGTTACTAATAAAATATGGAAACAGATGCCAAAACAAACTATATTTTCTTTTGAAGCATACCATTGAACATGTAGAAGAAGAAGCAAAAATATCTTAGATTCATAAACAGGCACCAATAGAAGCTCATGGACAGATACCTGGTTAACAAATGTTCTTTGGAAAGGGCTCCTACCATCATTTAACTGCGAATATAAACCATACAGTAAGTGCATATGATCAATATTACTACGAACCAGAATTTTAAATCTACTTTAAGCTCAAAGAAGTCTTTTATCCTGTCATTCAGAGATACAGATTCTCAAAATCTCTACATAAAAGAAAACTGGAGAAACAGGGTACGCATTCTTGACTGAAACTAAGTTTATTTTCTATTACCATCTTTTCTTTAAAAGGTTCTAAACAAGAGATTGCATGATAAAATTCTTTAAAGACCAATGGACCTTGGAAAAGATGTAATGTGGCAACAAGATTGGCCACAGATCTCTCCCCCAATCAACATTTTGAACCGAGTGTCTAGGATTGGGCCAGGAGGGTCTCTAAACACCTTTTTTCTTCTCATCGGAGTTATTTCACAAAGACTTACAGGGTAAGGAAGAAGGAGGTTGAAGTTGGTGAAACATATGAGAGGCAGTTATCTCCTGCAGTTCGGAAAGGACTCAGCACTAGAGTAAATATCTTTTCATTTCTCTTTCTTGTCCTTTACAGTCAATTTAAAGCTCCTGCTTGATAATATGAGTGTGATGGTTTTATAATCTTATTTTCACAATATGTTTCGTAGTGTAGGAGTGGAGCTCAAACTAGAAAAACTTCTGATTCAATGTTATATAATTGGCATGTTCCAGTTCCAATATCTTAATTCTGTGCCACCCCTAAGTTATCATAATTACAGATAAACAAAGTAATTTTCAGATAACATCTGAAGTGATCTGTTACAGCATTAAGATAAAAATAAACCCAATTCAAAGAAGAAGAAAAAAAAAAGTATAATCATCCATCAAACAAATAAAGGCAAAACTCAAAAGACACTCATGGAGATCAAATCTACAGCAATTATACTCATCGTATAAAAGCCTTGGAGATTATCCCTTCATTTCAATTTACAGGCAGAAAATAGATTCCATTCACAAAAATCCCAGCAACGCAAATACTCTTTCCATCCTCCAGTCTCTATAAACATGAACCCATCAATCGATCCAAACACCAAAATTAAATCCAGTTATGGGAGTATTCATGTATTCAATTACTGAGTAATACAAATAGATAGAGATCTGATCATACGTCGCGAAATTGAAGGAGACCGAGTTGGCCGAGATAAGATACGGCCCGGTGAGCCGACTCGACAGGAATAATGAGTTGCACAAACGTCATCTTCTCGGAGCGCATCAGATCCATGGGTGGTAAGTTGTCTATGTACTCCATTTTCCATGAACCAGCAAAACACCCTCTTAATCAATTTCAATCAGATCACTTACTCAATCTCCTCACTTCAGATCTGGATTCGATCAGTTCTTCATATATATGTATAGGTTCTCGCCGAGCTCCTGGAAGTGGTGTATACAACTGCCGAGGGGGTCGGGATTTCGTGGCTGTTTCGGTTGTGGGTATAGAAGAGTAAAATGGAAGGAAAATAAAGCATAAATTAATTACTTTTTGTTTGGTCAAAATTTACAAGTCAAAAATATGGAGGATTGACTATTTTTTTGAGAGGAAATTTTGAAAAATAATTAATTAAATAATATCTTTAATATTTAAAAGGATAATTATATTCACGCCATAATTTCTATTTCTTGCACCACATTTCATTACATTAAAATGTGTTTGTATGTAAGCATGTAACTTATATGAAAAGAAAATAAATTCTAGACAATTAAATCGTCTATAACGTATTTGTATGGAAATTATTAATTAAATTTGTTTGATTGATTTAATTTTTAACATAAAAAATATTATACTTGTCCATCTTTTATTGGTGGGTAAACGAGAGAGAGGAGTAGATGGGAGACAAAGAGAGTGAATTGTCTAAAAAATAAACATACCCCTCCCCAAAGAAAAAAATTCTTATTTTTGAGAAAAATATGATCACATGACTAACTTTTGAAAAATATTTTCCACAAAAAAAGTCAATTAAAATCCCAAAAATATGAATTTGGATGGAAAAATGACATCTTCATAGAAAATAAAGTCAATCAAACACACATTTAAGATTTTCAATCTCTGCTCATTATATCACTTATATCCCTAACATTTTTTATTGACATTCTTATTCTTAAACTTTCTATTATTTAACACATTTTATATTTGATAACAATTTATATCCAAAAAATCCGTTGAAAATAGTGAATAATAACTTACTTTTCCATCTTATTTTCAAAAAATAAAAAAAATAAAGAAGTGTGAAAAATATTTTTTTCCTCATTTTAAAGCATGAAGCATAATATTTTGATTTAAATCATCATTAAGGATGGATGTAATAATTAATAGAAGGTTGAAGATAAAAATTCGACAATAATTGTGTTATGGAATGTATTCCAATGGTAAGCATTGTTTTTCCTTGAACATTGTTAATGGTCATTGCAAAGTATAGACGTATTGAAAATTGTGTCCTCTTGAATTTGAATGAATATTCTTCATCATTAGCTGGAGTTATGTGATGTACGGAAGGAAAGCTTGTTTTCAACATGTTGTCCAACGGTTATTTTTGCACGGATAATATATCTCCTGAAATCACGACAAATCATTATTGTTTCATTGTAAAGACCGTTGAATGGGTCTAGATTCATTGGACAATTTCTTTTCAAGATTAACTTCTGTGGTGAGATATTTTTTTACCAACAATGTATTTATGAACTCCTCTTGGTAAAATTGGTTTATATAATTTATTGCTTCATCAAAGATGACAAACTCTTCACATCCTCCAGGAAATAACTCAATTAGTTTGTCATTGATGTAGTCAACATTCTCATTTTTGGTCGAAAGACTTCTACGTTGTGTCATATAATCTGAAGAAGCTACATTTTCTATTAAATCTAGGAATACTGCATTGATTAAGTGTAACTCAAAGTTTCAACATCATCATATGCTGTAACTATCTCCTTTTGATAAGTTGATGAAGTCATCATCTATGTAAAGTTCTGTTCCAGTATCAATTCGGATTAAGTATTGTGCAAATCGATTGTCATTCTGATCATGCATGTTGTGGTTTAGTTGCAGTTTTTTCATTTATCCCAAAGATACGATCTAACCAAACTTTGGTTAATTGTTTGTTGTCTTGTTGCGCTTGGGATAATAGGTAGTACTTAGCGAAAATTTCCTTCGAATACAAAAACATTTCCACCAAATGGTTCTGGATCGTCCTAGATGAGTTCTATCAATGGTTTTTATTATATTTTTGTTGGTCATTGGTGCTTCATCCTATATTATATGCTTCACATGCAGAATCAATTCTGATATAGTACTTTGCTTGATATACTACACGTTGTTGATTCATTAGTCTGAAGTGAAATATTGAATATTGAATTGGTGATTCTGCCATCTAATATTATTGATGCTGCTGCACCTCAAGTTGATGTCGAAAGTGCTATCATCTTTTGAGATCAAACACTTGCTAGTAAAGTAAGGTATCAAAAGGTTTTTCCTATACCACTAAGTCCATCGACAAAAATACACCTCCATTTCTATAGTTCATTATTTCGAGTATAACATCAAAAGCATGTTTGTTATCTAGATTTAGATATGATGCAGCTTGAATATCAACATTTGGAACTTCAGCAGAGCGTTCATCTAAAATTTGCTTCGTAAATAAACTAAAAATTAAGTTGGATTGCTAACTCCTTTACATGGGATAATTAATATACTAAATTTCGATATAAATAAATAAATTGATGATACTGCATATAGCCCATGTTTGACAATTATTATTTTAAAAATAAAATAAAATTCAATCACACGTTCACACAATAAAATATTTTGCATTAAAACTTTTCTTTACTTTTTAGCCACCCATTCTCCTAAAACTCACTATTCAAAACTTTATTTTCCCTTTATAATGATTGTCAAACAAGGGCATAATTTGGATTCTCATTCTAATGTGTTAAAATCAATACCAATGGAAAAGATATACAGTAACTTACTAAGATACTACTATCTCTAGCTATTTATGAGTAATAAGATATTTTTTCCACAATTTAAAATTTTAAAATAATATAAATCTCAATAAAAACAACTTATTTACATTAAACAAACCAAAACATTGAAATAACAATCTTATTACATAATCAAAAACAAATGTACACATTATAAAAATATTCACAACATTCTTATTTGTAGTTCACATAATCTAAAAATGTGTAAACCATATACAAAATATTCACACCTATACAAATTACTGGAACACAAAACACTTTAAGTAGAGAAAAAATATACCAAAGTGGAGAATATAGATCCAATCCTAAATGAGGAATCAAATTGTATATTTAAAAACAAAATTCATTGAACAAATTCTTTAATAGGTGTAAACACTAATTCTTACATTATTGAAAGAAATTACCGTGGAAAAGAGTTTTGACCTGATATGGACATAAATATAAAATCTAGAGAGCAGTAATAATTTTGAAGTAATATAAATAAAAAATTCAAGTACAAAAGAGAAATTAATTTTCTTTGGCAAGTAGATAAGAAGAAAAGAAAATAAACTTAAAGANTATAAAAAAGAACATACCTTCAGAATGAAGAACTAAAAATATCACATTATCAAAGATTGAATTGAATTGATAATAAGCAAGCATGTCATGAAATTACTAGATATTACCACTTCTACAAACAACTTGCATACTTAAATACATAAAATTGAATTTTTACCCTTTTTGTTTTATTATGAATAGCAACTTTAAAATACATTACAAAATCCTTATCTAATTTGTTTGAATATAAATATGTCAAATTAAATTAAAAAAGTAAAGTGTGTATCTATGTGAATGTTAAAACGCAAGAATTGATGGATAATTTATATTCGTTGAATATGTTCAAAATTACAAAATCTAAAAAATTATACCATATTTAATTTGTTGAAAGTAGTGACATCTTTAGTCTCTTGCTTTGGTTTTCCTAAAATCTAAGTAAAAATATTTGATTTATTTCTATTCGATTTGATCACATTAGATTATGTATCATTGAAGACATGCACCTTTCTCTAGTCCCTTGAAAATCAAAAAGAGATAATGATCAAAAATCATTAAAATAGTTGAAATTAAAACCAAAAGCTAGTTTTTTAAACATGCTTTGTACATTGTAAGATACGATAAAAGAATTTATAATTTAAGCAAAATCCGTCACTATTGTAAGTTGAGTCTTTATTCATTCAAAAGAACTTATTATTGAAGATCAAGAACATATTCCATAATTCTCTTTCCTCAATCACAGGATCAAAACATAAAAAATATAAAAGATCGAAACACCAAATAAACCTCTACCAATTATCTTTTAGAGTTCTAAAAATACATAGAATTGGAGTTCTAATTAGTGAAGAACGAGTTCGTTATTGGTAATCCATGAGGAGAAAAGAAGTCTAGAGGTTCTAAAATTGGTGCTGGAGTGTACTGTTGACCTATTGTTGATTTCATCTTTAATGTTCCGATCATAACAAATAAGATTAATATTGTTTTTAACAATTGATTTTGAGTGATGAAAGTTCAATGTTGAAATCAATCAAGCATTGTCAAAATCAACACATTATAAATTGGACTCGGAATGAAGATCAAAGTGAAAGTTAAGTATTCAAGTCAAATCAATCGAGATGATAGCTTAAAAGAAAAAGGTCAAGAAAAAGCAAGATCAAGACGAGAAGTCTAAGAGCCAACCTTCGAAGAAAATTAAAGACTGGACTTCTTAGTTCAAATATAAATGTACTAATATTTTGATATATAGTAATGAATAAATCGTTTTATGCACAAAGATTATTTCATAAAAACACTTGTATAAAAAAATATTATTATATTTCAAAGGGTAAGAATTTCGACTTGATATTTAAATTTTTTACAATGTTACCTTTCAGAAGCCTACATTTTTCAAAAAGAAAAAGTCAAAGTCAAAGTCAAAGTCAAAGTGGAGGTCCGGTTCGCCAATAGTTATTTTTTTAATCGTTCTGATTTTTTACGCACAACAGTTAGTTGGATAGTCCGATTCAGGATGCGGACGTCCGATGGGTCGTTCGATTTGCTAGAACTTTGGGTGTTTTGACTGCTACAAATACCACTTCACTTTGGATTCATAAAACAACTAGAAGAGAGCTTTCTTGTGAAATATATTTGTGAAAAATCTTCTTTGAGCTTACATTTTTACATTTATTTCTTCATAACAAAAACTTTGATTGTTAAATTAAACTTTTTGAAAATTATTTCTCTCATCAAAGTTTTTCATTTCTC